TTTATGTGCCACCACCTGTTAATGCAGATATACTTTTCTTTTTGATTTTATAGTGTCACTGGAGTGTTTGTATGGCAGGAATATATGTATTTTGAAGGATTTTAATATACCCACTTATTCTGAGTTCTTAGACACTGGTACAGAAAATCAGTGTGTCACGTTTCTTAAAAATTTTATGCATTGCATGAATGTTTCACAAAGTAATTTTATTAGAAATGTAAATAACCGAATTTTAGATTTGGTCCTACATAACAATAAATATTGTATAGTTCAATGTGCTCTAGATGCGCTGGTTCAAGAAGACAAACACCATCCTGCAATTTCTATCTCATTTCAGTTCCCCCATTCTACAAGAATGATCCAAAAAAGTTTTGGTCATTTATCAAAAAGGCGTAGGTATTCTGTAAACAAATAGGAATAGACATAGAGAAGAGATAGACATAGACAGGAAATATAAAAACTAATTCTATAAGCATCTTTCCAAGTTGATTCGGGTGAAGTCGAAATAGAAATATCTTAAACTATCCGAAGTAAAAACATTGCGCTTTCCTAGAGAGTTTCATTATTTTTGTGGTGTTTTAAATTGTCAGTTGTTATCAACTGTTCAATGTCAATATCACATTGTTATTGATTATTTTTTATCTATATATATAAAAATTAATGCCACTTTTCGTTGTAATTTTATAACTCAAGAACGGACTCACCTAGCCAAACCAAATGTTTAGGCTTTGTTCGGACTATTTATTAGATGGTTTATGTGAAGTTTGCACAAAATCGGTCGAGCGGTTCTTCATTTATCACATTTTTTGTAATAAATTAGTTATTCAATAAATGGAGCATCATTTTGCTATCAAATTCAAACTTTTTTCAGCGTTGACAGTACCAGCATGTTGTTATGTCATTAATGTGGTCATTTCATTACTTATTTTATTTATGAAAAAAATTTACTAAGCCCGCATACGGCGCTATGTCTTATAACCGATACCAAGTTTATTTTGTATTTTGTATACCGCGCCATCTCTGATACCTGGAACAAAGCTCGGCATTGCAGATACAGTAGAACAATGCTGCACAGAACTATTCCACTATTCCGATCAGATAGAGTGGTGCAGAAAGTAGAGTGGTGCAGAAAGAGTAGGTCAGATAGAGTAGTGCAGATAGAGTAGAACAGATGGAGTAGTGCAGTGCATGCAGTGCAGATAGAGTGAAATAGGGCTGCGCTAGAGATTTTTTTTTGTTTTCTTTACATTCTTTGAACATTCCTGTGCCTGAGTTTATTTATTTGGTGGTACACTTTACAAGAATAATGCCCACAAGCTGCCTAAAAAAGGATGATGTAAAATTTTAATTTTAGGTGTCTTCTGATCCAGAGAGTAAACATTAATTTTCTTCAACCAAAGCCAAATTCACCATCGAAAAAAACTGAATTTAATTCAGCTAATAGATACGTTAACACAACATTTAATTGGTATATTTAATAATTCAGAGGCGGTACGAAGTTCGCCGGGTCAGCTAGTTATCTATATAAGCCATTATGGACCCTATATTCATGCATTTTGTGGATGAAACTGAAGAAGAAGAGCCTCAAGAATTATTAAGATTGGAAAGGATAACCTTGCGAGATGAGTTTAATGCCTTTCATAGACCCGAAAGGGAATTCCGGATGTATTTCCACCTCACTCCACACATGGCTCCTGTTGTTAGAGCCGGAAGAATCCCAATTAAAATTAGAGTATTGGGTGCTCTAAGATTTTTCGCTCAAGGCTCCTATCAGAAGGCGGTACGAGACGACTTCAATACATGTATGCCTCAGTCCACATTTAGCAGGGCATTAAGTAATGAAGTATGTTTGGCTCTAGCGGCCATTGTTTGGGTTAAATTTCTCCTATCCGAGACTGAGAAGTAGCTTAAGAAAGAGGAAAGAGGAATTCATGGCCCATTTCGGATTTCCGGGAGTGATATGATGTATCGATGATACCCACCACTTACCCTTTTGTGATTTGCGCTATTTTACCACAGTATTTTTACTAAATGCTAAGGCTAAAATATCATTTCAGGGAAAGGGACATATTAAAGGTGGTTATTTTACTTCCCAAATACGAAATTAGGAAATATCTCTGAGAAATATTCAAAACAGAACTATTCAAAATATGACAAAACCTTTGACAAAACTACAAAGCATAACCACTAATAAATAAAACATAAACTCTGACAGAAATTCAACGTTCCACGATAATCTGCTAGAAAAAGATAGAAACAATTTTTCTATTACAGAAAGACCTAAACGGGTCTTTCTATTTCTCTATGCCGACCGAACACCGAACGAGACTCGAGTGCTGCCGAACTGGCTACATAACCCACAAGATATATTGAATTATTTTGCCATGTTTTTTAGACAGTCATTTTCGATTAGCACAATCAATAATAATTTAACAAATAATATTGATACACGCCCCTATAATAACGTTAATATGTATAGACAATTTTTCAGAGGATGAAGTTGCGAGGGCTCTCAAAAAAATTAAACCCAAATCTACCACAGGCCCAGATTTTATCCCTGCATTCCTTATACACGATTGTCATTTTGTTCTGGTTAGGCCACTTATGGTACTATTCAACTTATGCCTGAAGTACCAAACAATCCCTAGTTTATAGAAAACTTCTAAAGTTGTTCCTGTCTACAAAAAAGACGATAGAGCAGAGATCACAAACTACAAGCCAGTCTCTCTCATTTGTAACTTCTGTAAAGTTTTAGAATTTCTTTTATATGATAAGATATTTCCTGCTGTCAAGAACCAAATAGTTCCCCAACAACATGGATTTTTTAAAGGAAGATCCACTGTCACTAACCTACTTGTGGTGTCTCAATATATTGCTGAATCTATTGATGATAGTTCTCAGGTTGATGTTATATATCTAGATTTCTCGAAGGCTTTTGATCGCCTGGATCATAATGTTTTAATTCATAAACTTCGTTCTTGTGGATTTTGTAACTCACTCGTAGACCTCTTTGTCCAACCGCTTTCAATATGTCTCTCTTAGTGGGTGCACATCTAATAAATACTCTGTCACCTCTGGCGTTCCGCAAGGCTCGATACTTGGGCCCTTATTATTTAATATATTTATAAATGACATTAATAGGGATCTTGATGTAGATTTTTTGTTATATGCAGATGATATAAAGATATTTAAAAATGTCCAGTGTCTGGCTGATTTTCTTACTCTTCAACGTAATCTAGAGAGGATCAATGATTGGTGCATCAAAAATAACTTGTAGCTCAATATGGGAAAATGTAATGTGGTTTCCTTTACAACCAAGACCTCAGCTATTGTTTATAATTATGTCCTTAATGATACATCTGTTCTCCGTGCCGATACTTTTTGTGATTTAGGCGTAACGTTTGACTCAAGATTTTCTTTTGTTCCCCATGTCAAGAAAGTACTGTCTGATGCCTAAAAAAGCTACGGATTAATCGTACACTAGGGACTTCACCAACCTCGAGGTACTTAAAATATTATATAACTCTTATGTTCGGTCAAAACTGGAATATGCGTCAGTAATTTGGTCCCCCGGTTATGATGTTCATATCAATAATTTAGAAAAAATTCAGCGCAGGTTTTTAAAACATGCATGGTTTAAAAGTGAGGGAATATATCCTCGTCAAGGCTTTTCACATACAATCTTATTAGAGAGATTTGGTTACGTTTCTCTTAGGGATCGCCATGATTACCATTATTTAATCACTTTGTTCAAAATACTAAATAATCTGTTGGACTGCAGTGGCATGCTTGGCAGAATATGTTTTTTTGTACCTCGTATGAACTCACGCCATAATACCACATTTTATTTGCCTCTACCAAGAAAAATGCTTAAAAATTCTCTCCTATTTTTTCAATGTGTTCTAAATATAACGCCCATCCTAACTTTGATTTTTTTTCTCTATCGATTTCTACAGTTAAGAAGATACTTCCGCATTAAATACTTTGCTATTTCCACTGATATTTTAAACCTGATTCTCTCATTCCGTTTTGAAGCTGCTCTTGCTGGCAGTTGTTTTTCTGCCTTTGCTTCTGCTTTTCTGCTTACTTTATTAACCATTTAATTTGATTTTGTTGGACTTAGTAGGTTAAGTAGTAGGTTTAAGTTTCACTCTGTCATGTATGTTACTGACTTCCTGATTTACCTGATAACTTTTTGTAACTCTTGTTAGTTCCTATCTATTAATTGGGCATTTGTGCCTGTTGGGTAGGTTTTTGGTGAATAAATAAATAAATTTCTATGTTCAGTTCACTGTCTGGTTAAGCATATGAGTTTTAAGGGCAGATAGACCAGCAGTTCTAGGTCCACTACTCTATTTACTATTTATATTAACAATCTTTCGAAAAAACAGGGCTGAATCCAACTTGGGCAATATTTCTAAATGATTTGGACACAATAAACTTACTCTTAATCAAAAGTTACTTTCACAATTGTGACAAAAAAAAAATGTAACTTTACACCCGTTGCTAACCAAAAGATTTATTTCGGAATAACTATTTGTCCCCCTACTCTGTGATTGCGCTACACATACTAGGTACATCGTCAGTATAGTTTATAATCAATTATTATAAAATAATAAATAAATGATAATATCAACCTTACTTCCTGTCTTTCATTAATTCAATACAAATAAATATCTTGTGACCAGATGGCAGTGAAATTGCTTTCGTTAAAGTTTCCATTCAACTTATATATTTTAAGTCCCTTTTCACAAATAACGCCGGAGCCTGGAGGAGAAAATTATAAAACAAACTTTGCAGTTTTCGAGCCGAAATTAAAACTCGGAAAATAAAGCCATCTCGGAAGTAATTGTGAGGTTTCCTATTTACTAATTGCATCTTAATGTTTTTATCCTTTGCTTTCTGCAACTTTTATAAACTTGAATAATATTTTTATTATATGTAATTGAAAATTTTATAGCATCAAATGCATTTTCATATAAAATATTATTGTTTTTCAGTACATCGGCACTCAAGTATTCTCCTTCGTCATTCTTTTAGCGGGATCCGCCGTCCTGTTGGATAACAGTGCCAGGGATTCCCATTTCCAGCCGAGGGTGCGTGAAAGTATGCGGTTGCTGATTATGAATGCACAATACGAGCCAGCCAAAAATACCCTCGCCATGATTCAGGAAGGTGTAAGTATGCTAGAAATTTGAATTCCAAATTACAATCTTAATTTCCTTTTTATTATATTGATCAAGTAAATATTTAGTAGAAAATGAATTTTTTTTACGAGTGTGCGCAAAGTAACTACTTTGCGCACACTTTTGTGTACGCAAAGAAGCCCTTTCCCCCCTATGCGAGAGAAAAAATTTCCCGCACACTTTTTTTTCTGGTACCCATAATAAAATCTGGGGATCCCCTATTTGGGGGGCAAAGCCCTGCAAGAGCCCCATATCTGGGGGGCAGAGTCCCGCGGGAGTCCCTTTTTTGAGAGGCACAGCCCTGCGGGCCCCCTTTTTTAGGGGGCAAAGCCCCGCGGAAAGAGGCCGAATTTTTTTTTGGCCGATTTAGATATACCTAGTTAGTAACAACAAATTGTTTTTGATGCCTATAGAAATTAAAAATTTAAAAAGGAAGTATAGTTATTTCACTCGTAAACAAAATATTGTTCCCAACACGTGCGCAAAGTAGTTTTCCCGCAGTTAAAGCTTATCCGAACTCCGCTTCGCGTCGTTCGTCTAACTGCTTTCGCGTGCGGGAAAACATAACTTTGCGCACTGATTAGGAAAACTACTATTTCCCGGTATAATCTATAAACTCATTACACAAATCATGTTTGTAAATAAATATGTCAAGAAAATCTGTGAACAAGCGAACGATTGGAAATTATTCTAGCAAATATTTTGAACCCCTTATTCATTACCTGACATTGAAAATGTTTCTGTATTCCTGGTATCTTCTTCTTAAGGAGCGTTATCCATTAATGAATAATGGCGACAATTATGGCATATTCATTTCGATCTTGCGCGGCTCTGATAAATGGGCGTCGAGGTTTGTCCAGTCTCTTATGTTCTTCAGCCACGAATATTCCTTTCTTCCGATGCCTCTCTTCCCCTCGATCTTTCCTTCCATCATCAGCTTTAGGAATTGATAACTGGAATTTCTGAACGTAGATATGCAGTTTTCCTTCTTTTCACCATTTGTAACAAGTCTCTCTTTTTTCCAATTCTATCCAGAACCGTTCACAAAACGGTACCAATGTCAAGTTAAGACTGTTGTTGCCTTCTATTCCTACGTTTGGATCTAGTCCTTCGTTATTCAGCTTGCTAGGTATCTAAACTTTGCGACTTGCTGGATTTTCCCGCCATTTACTGTGATATTTAAGTGTACATTTGGTGTTCTGCTAACCATCATTACTCCTGTTTTGTTCTCCATCGATGGCTATTTTATCAACAAGGCATTGTAATGCTTCCTGAGCCGTCTGCTGTCATGACTGTGTCATCAGCATCAGAGTTACGTATGTTGTTGACAACTCGGCCATTTATCTTCCGGTCTCTGCGTCCTTCAAGGCACATTCAAAATCGGTTCAGAGCATAGATTGATAAGTAGGGGGGATAGAACTCAACCCTGTCTTACATCTCTCTCTATCGGAAATTTCTGTGTAGTGTCACTTCCCACTCTAACCGATGCTGATTGATATATGTATAGGTAGGTCATTTAGAAATCGTAGATCGTTTTATTTGGAGCAATGTATCTTTCGCATATGTTGTGATTTCTCGTATGGTATTCCTAGTATTCGGAGACCGAAATCGCGAAAAGTACATGCTACATTTTCCATATACGACACACGTCACATCGTCATTCAAAATCCATTTTTATCCATTTTATTTATCACATAAACTTTTCATTTTTATTCATCATTTGCGAAGGACTGTGAATTTTATTGAAGGGTTTCAATTATTCATCAGCAAGTAATAATGTACCTAGTTCCAAAGATTGGAAAACTTGTCTATTTGCTGATTTACTTTCTTGAAAATCAAAAGCGATGTACCAATGACCTTTCTCTAAATCCTAAAGCTTCGAAATACTGCATGCACCGTAATATCAATATTTGTTCGACGGCTTGGATTTCCAAGCCAAGGTCCTAATATACCAAAAGACGGGTTGTTTGCCTAAGCGAAAATCTCTGGGAAATACGTTATCAAGTTCATATGTCGTTAATCTTATGGAAAAACCTTCTATATCGCACCGCCATGTTTGATAGGCACTTTAAGTTTTCCCATGTCGGGGGCACAAAGCTTTTTGTTCGGTAAACAGTTAGAGAATGTTTATTATATATCATTGCTACGTTTAAATGAGTTTGTCATAGGAGTTTGTCTTAGAAAGTGTATTGTGTTTGGCATGTTTTGGGTTAGTTTGTTTTGGAATGTCGGGCTTGCTAAACAATATTTCACCAAACATGTCATGTTTAGTGGAAAAAGTAGCAATTAAGAATAAACTGTTGTTTTTTGCTCATCACTTAACATCTAGCAATTTATTTTCCTTTTTGACATGGTAAAATATACAGTTCATCAATATGGAAACATCAAATAAGGCAGTAAATAGAAAAATCCTTTATCTCAGGTAACCCCATTTATCTCTTTTCAAGTCGGAAAACACGGAAAAGCAAGTACTTTTTTCGTAATTGGCAATTAAATTGCTTGAATGCAACTACTCGCATAGAGTAGCTGCATCAAGACTGGAACTAATTTGAAATGTAAGTTGTCGTGGAGCTTATACCTAAATTTCTAAAGACTAAATCTCGGAATTGCCGAAGGCAAAATTTGCTTCCCGGATCTAAATATCAGAGAAACAACAGCAGATGATTGGTGCTGTGAGAGTCGTTGAGAGAAAAAGTATACATTTGTTAGGAAATTCATCAATATTTCAATAAAAAGAGAATGGAACAATTTCTGTTGAAATTTTATCAAAATTATTTCTGTCTTTCATGATGCGATATTGCTTTATGACTCAGTAATTCAATTTGATAAAAATTTATTACATTCTGGATACTGGTTTTGTTTTTGTACTACTGCTGATTTATTGAGGAAGAAAAAACTTATCCCGTAAAATTCCTCATCAAACTCTTAATGTCCAAAAAAAAGCGCCGAATTTATTCTTCCTTTGTTAGAAGATAATATTCGCACTTATTAGAAAACTCTTAAGTACTGTTCGGGAGTTTACTAGCGTGGCGGCGGCGAAAAAGCAATCGACTGTAAAAAAGCCCGCGTTTCATGATAATCTCGAGTTTCCCAAAAAGTTTTCTTCGTACAGGCAAGTTTATGGTTTCCTCGCTGATTGTCGCTAACAAAAACTGTGGAAACTACTTCATTAAATATTCGTAGTGTAAAGTTTTGCTTTGGGAACGAAGATTTTGCTTAACTCAATAATTAGCAATTAATTGCTTAGAGTATCTAATGATATTACTTGAATTATGCTACAATGTTTTACTAAGCTGGCAACTACTTTCTTGCATCCGGGAGACAAATTATTGTATGTACCTACTATATAAAAAAGAAGTATGTTTGTTTTTAATTCATTCTGGGGATTTTTGCCGAATATGAATTATTATTATTCTTCCTGTAACTTCTACTTATGTACTGACCTGTCTCCACTTTTTCTTCTTCTTCCTGTTTACCAATGGCCCATTGTCATCAAACAACAGTCAGCCAGAATCCTATCACTTGTGTCCTCTACTGCATCGGGGTGGGGCTACCCCACTTGCCAATAGTTTAGTTTTGTTTAGGGATGAGTAGGTACTTTTTTGCTGTGGCCTGTTCCGCGGGGAATTTGGAATCGCCAGAGAAATAGAAGTAAATATGATATGTGCTTGAAAAAATGACCATATAACAACCAATCACATTTTATAAGCTTAAGCACCTAATAGCATTCTAAATCATGCAGCACACTACTCTACAATACAACTGTAACAATGATCTACTGCTTCTTTTCAGATTCTTACATCAAACTTCTTGATACAATCCATAACCATCTCTGCTTCCCTGTTGGTTAAATTTGCAAAAATTTCTTCCATCTGTATCGGTCCTCCTACCCAATCTGTAGGACCTCTGTTCAGCTAACAGTTCAAGAGCACATGATTGATATCACACATTCACAACACTCGCTGTCCTGCATGCCAAGTTTGTATTTCTGTTTATAGTTGGGGAGCTGGCGTCAAAAACATGCAAGAGTTTTCGCAAGGTTGATATTTTCAAAATAGGTCGTACTTTAGTGTTAGAATGCTAGTGTACAGTCAGCACTCACAGTTCCGGGACAGCTGGCTCTGGGACGCGGGCAAAGTTGTAATTTCAAGAAGCATCTAAACTGTTTTCTCAAAGCTCAAAATTTATAGAAATTTTGCACATTATCTGTTTGAAGGTCACATATAACGTATGTAAATCGTCAGATGTCTAGTTCGTTGCAAAAAGGGGGTCAGACGGCCTCAAAGTTTTTATTTTATGGCATTTTCTTCGGTGTCCTGTCAAAATATATTTTTGCAGGTATTTGACAAATATATTTGAAGAAAATGCCATAAAATAAAAACTTTGAGGATGTCTGACCCCCTTTTTGCAACGAACTAGACGTCTGACGATTTACATACGTTATCTGTGACCTTCAAACATATAATGTGCAAAATTTCTATAAGTTTTGAGCTTTGAGAAAACAGTTTAGATGCTTCTTAAAATTACAACTTTGCCCGCGTCCCAGAGCCAGCTGTCCCGGAACTGTGAGTGCTGACTGTACACTAGCATTCTAACACTAAAGTATGACCTATTTTGAAAATATCCGCCTTGCGAAAACTCTTGCATGTTTTTGGCGCCACCTCCTGGACTATTAGCTATGAGGCAATGTGTAGTTCTGATTCTACAAAAGACGCTAGTTTTGTCGGTCAGCCCTCTTAATTTTTGCAAAACACGGTGTTTTTTGGGGTTTCTTCGTTAATTTGTAGTATTGGCTTGAATTATTTCTACCTTTATTGGTAAATTCCATAGTCCATTGCCTCCATGTCGCTTCCTCAGCTACTCTGAATAAATCATCATAGTATATTGTTCTGTTGATAGCATTATTTGCCTCTCGGCCTATTCCAGCAAGTCTAGCTGCCTTTTTATTTCCTGTTATGCCTGTATGACTGGGTATTTTGATTTCCTTTCTT